TAAAATAAAATTAGCCTTTGCAATGAATGACGATTAACAAATTTCAAGGACAAACATTTGATAGGATAGTAATTGATCTCCAGAAAGGATGTATTAGTCACGGACAACTGTGGCGCTTTTCAGAGTTCGTTCGTGGGACTCATTGAAAGTTTATTCAGGGAAACAAAGAGGCAATAGTGTTGTCAAAAACCATGTTTTTAAAGAATTGTTTTTTTGATAATTTAATTTTGAAATTTCGCAGTCATAGGTGATTTCAGAAGATCTTTACAACTTATTTACAAGATATTTGAAGATCACAAGACAAAAACCTGAACACGATAAACATAAATAATTGAAAATAACGAAGAACGACATGAAGACTTAGCACTCTTTAAACTTTGGATTCTTACGAGTTCCATAAAATAGAATAAGTTGCACTGGACATATGCACACCGTATATTCAAAAAATAAGATCGATTTAAAGTCATTACGATATACCGCAAAAGTAATAATTCGCCAACTACTTTGATCACATTTAAAATTTATGTCTACCACGTAGGTACAAACAAAAAATGTAAGTTGAATAATTGAGCAATTGCATTTAAAATCTTTTAAAAAAATTTTTTTTCGATTGTTTGCAGTAAAATGTTGATCGAGTAGACTTCAATAACTGGCCTAATAAAAAAAAAGGAACTTCATGAAAGTGTAAAAAAAAAAAAAGACTCGATATCTCGTATTATACCACAGCACATAAATAGTTACTAACTCGGTTTATAATAACACCTTGATTATGGTTATGATTATTCTGTTTTAAATAAACCACTTCGAAAAATGTATACCTACACCTACGAGTTCCATAAAACAAAATGAGATAAGTAGACATACGCACACCGTACATTCAAGAAATGTGATCGATTTAAATTCATTATGATATACCATACAAAAATAATTAGTCACCAACTCCATCCATCGCATTTGAAATTTCTTCACTAGAATAACATCTATACAACTTATCTCACTGTTACATTTAATGTATAATGTACATTTAAATCAAAAATTATGCTGTTTTTTGTACAACACCTAATAAATATTTTCCATTTTATAATTATTTTGATGGACTTGTTTTAAAAAAAAAGCGCGCGACGCGCGCTCATGACCTAGTATTCATAAAACTAACAGTAGAGAAAATATTGTAAACCATCAGTATTGCACTCGTGCAAAGATTAATCAAGATAATGTTATTCCAGTAAACCATAATAATGCCAACCTGAAAAGCTTGGCCTATCTGGGCCCTAAAATTTACAATAGGATTCCTGTAGCAATAAGAAGCTTAAATGTATACAAGTTTAAAAGACGGATACAAAGTATGTAGCTGATCAATCACTAGTGTTCAGGGATATGTTTTAGGATATGTTTTGGGAGTTGTTTTTGTTTATCTTTGTTTTTGTTCATATTTTTTTTTATCGCGGGTAAAATTAGTGTATTACTCACGAAAGGCATGTATAGACTGGACTGAAGTTTTTTTTTCCAAGGTACATACAAATAATTTTTTTTTTAGGTACCTATAAGAAAAGTATTATGTAACTCAATGTACTATTTTGATGTAACTTAAATGCTATATGGCACATGTAAAGAACTGAGATGAACAAATAAATAAATAAATAAATAAATATCTTTACCACAGAAAGCAATATCTATATAATCTGCTTATTCTACCTTTGTTGGTTGGTTGGTTAAAGGGGGGATTAAATCGTAATACCATTTGTTAATCGCAACTGCAACACAGTATCAAAAATAAGCCAAACGAAATAATTAAAACAGGTTTGGCCTTTAACCCAAATTTATCTCCTGGAGGATGGCGGGAGACGCTGAACGCTCACTGTCCAGTAAAGGGATTTCAATATATCTATTATTTGGATGAACGTTTGGTTTACCTAAGGCATTATTTTAGGTATAAGCAAAACTTTGAAAACAAATCGTAGGAAGTTTATGACTTCCAAAATCGCTTTGAAGCTGCAAAAAAAAGCACATCAGAATTGGCCCAAATTTGACATAAACATTCTTTGATCAATTATCTGAAGATTTATGGAGGTTTTCTTTTTCAAGTTTAGCCTGTTTTTTTTTTTTTTTTTTGGGGGCACTAATCCAGAGCAAGACTTTTTTCAGAAGACAGGCAACCAAAAAAACAGTCTGCTACTTTTTCGAACAAAGAAATACTCAAAATAACCCAAAATTACACGACATAATTTAACAAATGAAGAAATCTATTGGAAAATCTGACATTGCCTAATGAATTTTACCTAATTAGCCTCATGAATGACTATAGTCATGACTCATATTAGATATATGAATATCAATATTACTAGTATAATAATTAAATATCATATTGTTAAGCCAGTCCAGAACTACATACATTTGCCCGCCAACATTTAAACATTTGCATAAAAGCTGTTTAAAATGTGTTTGCAAACATTGTTTAAAAACATTTAAACAAATGTTTAAAGTTTTTTGATTGCCGTCTGGATGGGAAACTTTGTTTTTATACTCGCTTTTCGAGCAAGTCTGGACGCTTTCAAAGCAAATGTTTGTTGTTTTAAGCAATTGATTTGATTTCATATAAAATACCTTGGATTAATAATCGACAATAACCTCAACTGGACCCAACACATCAGCCATCTCTCTATATAGGTACAAATGTAGAAATTATTTGACAAATAGAACCAAATCCAGGGTATACAATGCCTTCTTCCAATCACACTTGAGATACCAAATGCCAGTGTGGGGAACATGTGGGGTAACCAATTAAAACACAGTTCACGTACTCCAAAACAAGGTATTAAAAATTCCCTATGGTTACTATAGGATGACTAGTAGGTACCGAAAAATTATATACAGTGTGTCCCGCTTAAGGACTGACCACCCTTCTAAAATTGTTATTTTTCAACCGATTCAATTCATTTTTTTTTTGTCTTGTAGCTACTCGAATTTGGCACTTATTAAGCTCATAATTTCATTTCTACATTTGCACTGGTTTACAGGGTGTCCACATTTATAGGCTCAAATTTCAATAAGTACTATTAGGGATTTTTTTAGAAAAAATCTGATAGCAGATTCTTGTTTAGAATGGTCTAAAACCCTAATGTACGAATTTTTGTTCCAATAGGATACAGGGTGATCACAACAAATTTTCAAAATTTAATGGCCCAAACCAGAAAAATTTCATATTTTGAGGCCATGAGAACAACAAAACTTGATACAACATAGTTTTAGAACATCCTTAACCAAAACTTGTAGTAAGCTTGTCTCAAAATGTGAAATTTTTGCGGTTGAGTCCATTAAATTTTGAAAATTTGTTGTGATCACCCTGTATCCTATTGGAACAAAAATTCGTACATTAGGGTTTTAGACCATTCTAAACAAGAATCTGCTAACAGATTTTTTCTAAAAAAATCCCTAATAGTACTAATTGAAATTTGAGCTTATAAATGTGGAGACCGTAAACCAGTGCAGCCATAGAAATAAAATTATGAGCTTAATAAGTGCCATATTTGAGTAGCTACAAGACAAAAAAGAATGAATTGAATCGGTTGTAAAATAAAAATTTTAGAAGGGTGGTCAGTCCTTAAGCGGGACACACTGTAGAGAATTGAGAATACCAAATTTGCAGTTTTACAATTAGAGCAAGTAAAATTTAGGTATAAAGTTTTAAACAAATACCAAAGATGTAATATAGATACTGCAATAACTAATAAAATACATAGCCATGATACTAAATCCAAAAATAATATCTATTTTAATACTTCTAAAACAAATATAGGAATAAAGAACCCAATTGTACAGGCATCGAAATCTTTCAACAAAATACTGGAAAATATTAGAAATTATAAAAAATACAGTAAATTTATGAAGGAAGTCAAATTACAAATTACATTTAGGAATTAAATAGAAATAAGTCCATCACTGTTAACTAGCATAGTTTATGACAATATTTCTCAAGGCCAGAGCTCCAAGCTCTGATTTGAGAGATAAATGTATTACTGTAAAATGAAAAATGTATGAATGTATAAAAATCTAGATTGTTTTCAAAAAAAAAAAAAAATGGGTGTTTACAATAAAAAATGATGCAAACGGCCTCCCAATTAAATATAAAGCGCGTCTGGTAGCAAGAGGTTTTAGTCAAACTTGACTATGACAAAACTTTTGCCCCAGTTGCCAGAATAACAACAATCAGGTTTTTACTTGTGGATGTCAAAACAGCATTTTTAAATGGCATACTTGAAGAAGAGAATTATATGAAAGCACCAGAAGGGATTCAAGCGAATAATGATGAAGTGTCTAAATTACATAGCTAAATCATTATGGTTTGAATGATTTGAAATAGCTTTAAAAGAGGCAGGTTTTCAAAATTCAATGGGAGACTGTTGTCTTTACTTCTTAAATAAGGGTAGCAGGGTAGTATGTATGAAAGGAGACACCCCACACACAATTTTGCCGAATAAAAATCACATGTTTGTGAAACAAATAAATTAGCAAATTCCTAAGATATTATAAAAATATTTATTAGTTTAGTTGGTTAATGGCCGTTTCCACCAACTAATTAAGGGGAACCTTAACGATAAGTATTCCCTAAACTGACATTTTTTCTCCATGTAAAAGGCTCCCTTAAAATAGTTGGTGGAAACGGCTATAGGTATTTGTTTAATAACATTATGTCAAAAACAGTTTTTACAAAATGTCAACATTTTGTGCAGTGGAAAATAAAATCTAATCTAACTTCAATATAGGCCTTCTAGTAGTTCTAGTTGAGGTTCTAGTAGTGTATCCAAATACTACATTCTCAATTCTATTCTGTTTGATATTTAACTGATTTTTTTTAAAGACCTGTGGTTTATCAAGCAATTTTTTTTCTTAATATGGTTCAAAATAAGCATATCTATTGATTGTATATTCGAAAAAAAAAAGGAATATCCATGATACCAGAGCTAGTATGCATTTATGGACAGACTATGATGTATCCTTACCTCTTCTGTAGAATTTTGACTAGGTTTTTTGGTAATATCACTCATTGACATAATATTTCCAGTACTGAAAATGACTTTTCCTTTAATATCTAATCCCTCGGTACTGATACTCATTTTGGGAAATAGATGGAAAGAATATCAAAAATAACAGTTTCCGTCCTCACTAACCAAATCTAACTATTCACATGCACCTCGCTGTAACTTGACTGCGCTTTAAATGCTTTTTTGCCTTTTTTCAAAAGATGATGAGTGGCAAATTCTCTAGGTTAAAGTCACGGAGATAAAAGTCTGACTGCTGAATCATGCAATTTAATGTACAATTCACAGAACTGGTGTCGGTGATGTAATTTTTTTTTTTTAATTTTTATGTTTTATGTTTCTAAATTCTAATCAGCTGTGTGTGTATGAAATGAAATGTCATCTTGAAAATGACTGACTAGTATCCAATAAATGTCAAAAGTGAAGTAAGGTTTGGTAAATAGTAAAAAAAAGGGACCGCTTGAGAAGGTGTTTTCTCGCGTCTCAAAGTTTTCAAACATTTTTCAAAACTGGACAAACTGGTTTAAAACCAAGAATCGTAAACTCTACAGGATTGCTCAATCCCATAAGACAAACGTTCATAAAAACATCGAAGATGGCGGTATGCGAATGACGTCACGCAATCCTTGATCGGTTTGTGTTTTATTATGACAGTGCACTTTCCTTGCATTTTCGAACGTGAAAAATTGTTATTTTGAGGGTATTTCCTTTGAAAACTGTATTTTGTAATAGGGCAATCCAACGACCTGTCAAAATGAAATTCAAAATGGAGGCCAATGCCTTTTTATTTAAAAAAAATGCCGTTTTATAGCGATTTTTGATTTCTATAAAGTCTGTAAAGTGTTGATTTTTTGGAAAATGCGTACTTTATGTATTGTACTTAGTTGTGGGAGCCGTTCTAATCGCGAGAAAGTCTGGTTTCATGCCGTTCCTGCAGAGACAAAACACAGGTTTTTAACGGAGAAAAATGATTTGTCTGTACTTTGTGAGGGCTTCATGGATGGTAGCAAAAGAGAAAAAATCTTACGAAATCCATATTAAAAAACCAAAAAGTCTCTCTACATAAATGGTGTATGGATCCCAGCCATTTACTATCCTCTACATCAGGTTGTGTCGATAACTTGAATAGCAGACAAATAAAATAAACATCAGGATTCAGGATTTGGTTAAGTAAAAACTAAAGTGTGTTTTTTTTTAAAGATAAAAGTCAAAATGACATTATGTTGGCAATGCAATGTAAAATTGTCAAGGCTTTCAAATTTTTTATGTAGAAAAGGCTTGTGTTGCCAACATATAGTTACTAAATTTTTGACTTGGGGAATTATCTTTAAAAAAAAACGAACTTTAAACAGGAAACAAAGCCTGGATAGTACCTACTTAATTGGTTAGTAGGTATAGGTTTGTCAGAAAGAAATCATAACTTTTGCAAACATCCGAGTTTTCCACTAATAATTTCTTAAACTAACAACTTTTCATCTTAAAATACCAAAATTATCCTTCCAAACACTAGAAAATCATCTAAAAACACCACAAAAAAAACAGTTTTTTGATGAAAAATGTCACGGTTATTTGAATTAAATTTATGGCGCCAATTTTTTGGCATCGATCATGCATTGACCGCCATTTTGTTTGGATTGCCCTATTGATTTATTCATTTTAAAATTAGCAGACTTCAAAAATTTGTCTCCTTGAAGGCTTGAGTGGTTGGCTTATTAGAAAGATGCGTTTGCTTGCTTTTGTTTATCAATTAGCCAAACATATTGCCAAAAAGTCAAAAAAACAAAGGGCTGGAGTCAAGCTGGCCCCCGGATTTGTTTCAATGTTTTTTTTGTGTATGGAAACAGTGCCGGCCCGAGGTTACTTTTAGGATGGAGCGAGATCTGACTTTGGCGCCCCTAATTAAGTAAATGCGAATCGTATACTCTATCCAGCGATCAGATGTTCTAAGCTGAGTACAGAGAAAAAGTACAAGTATCAAGTACAAGTTTCTTTTTTAATACGAATCAAGTACCAGTACAAGTATAAATAAGTACAAAAGGAAATAGGTACTTAAAATGTCAAATAAATTGACTTGAATTGCCCAAATTCAAGTACGAGTACCAAACTCCATGAAAGTCAAAGTCAAGTTAGTATTCACTTAAACTTACGTACCTACTTGAAATGACATTCACGTAGAAATACTTCAAAAAATAATTTAAGTATTTTTTCAATCAAGTATTGTTCGAATTAAAAACAAATTAAGGCCGCGTTAATGGCCACCATGTTTAAATTTAGTTTTCAAAAATGACGACTGCGTCACTCTACACATACGCATACGGTTCAATATTTTATTTTTTGTCCAAAATAAAATCTGTTTGTTGGTGAAACACTTAGTGACAGAGAAAGACAAATATACAATTGTGATGGTCCCAATGTAGCTTTTTTGCCGTGGCGCCATCTACTTGAAATTGCTTAAACTGTTTTCACCTTCAAAATTCTTTTTAAGGTCATCTCAAAAAATCCGCAATAATTTCCAAAATCCTTTGGCATAAACATTATTTGATATATTATCTACAATTTCTACAATTAGCTTTTTTTAGTTTTTCGTGGTTATCAATAAAATATGCTTTTCACGGATCCAAGCTTGATAAACTTGCAAATATGCAACCACCAACACATTTAATTGTTTTGGTGGTTGCGAACATGATTTTTGAATTTAAAAAAAAGCTGAATATCGAAAAACCAAAATGAGGAATTGTAGATAACCGGGGATAATACCACGAGAGCTTCAAAATTACCGATAATTTTTCACGATTGCGTGTTTTCTATAATTTCACGAGTCCGTAGGACGAGTGAAATTTGCAGAGAAAACACGCATGAGTGAAAAATTATCTGGTTCATTTTAAAACTCAAGTGGTACCTATTTAGAGGATTATTTCACGTATGAGAATGCAAAAAATATGGAAATAAATATGCATTAAACGATTTGAAAATCTCAACAATCAATACAAATAAATGGTTGCTATTAGCATGACAACCATGTATACAGTAACATGGGAGAATTATCGCTGTAATTCTCTCTAGTTAAACAAATGGAAGAGAGAATTTTCAATAGTAATATAACTAGTGCACGAGTTGTATTCAATGAGTTGTATTCAATGAGAGAATTTCATAAATCAAAAATTAAAATTTTTTGTCAAAAAATGTCAAAACACCAGTTTTCGCACCAGTTAGTATGCAATTATCTGATAATTTGCACTAGTTTTTTTTTTTTTTTTGCAATTTGCAAATTATCGCGTTATTACAATCTGATTGGTTCAAATCAACAATCAAAACATGTCAATTTATTGTTGAAATACCAGTTTTGACAGATGTATGAAATTCTCGCTGTAATTCTGAAAATCGTCACTTGTCTTATGGGATTTCTAACACATGAGTGGAATAATCGATCAAATAATGTTTATGCCAAATTTGAGCCAATTCTGATGTGCCGTTTTTTTAAAGACCTTAAAACAAGTTTCGAAAAATCAACCAATCACAGTTTAAACATGGCGGCCATTAACGCGGCCTTAAATTATTGCTATCTATCGATAATCTTAAATGGGGTGTGACCGAAAAATAAATTTTAGAAAAAACAAATCTAAGAACAAATTTTCAAACCGCACTAGGTCACGACCAACCGTTGCGAAGAAACTGTGATATAAAATTCCTACTCCTAGCACTGTGACGTCAAATGCACAAACTGAGTCCAGAGTTTTTAGAAAAAAAATCAGGAATGAGACCATCAGGCCTTGGCAAAGATATCACTAAGTGTGTCTATTTAATTGTAAAAATCATAGCTCCGTTATCCTAGACTATTTTTCAATGAAATTTCAATATGTTGAAACTAAAAGCTTCCTCAATATGTTAAAAAATATTTGGCTCCTCCAGGTTTCTCAGATTTCCGGAAAAAAATCAGAAATCAGGCCATAGGCCGTAATGCGAAAATATCAATCAATGGGGCTTTCGGATTAAAAAAAATCATACCTCAACTATCTTTGGTTTATATCCAATCAAATTTTGGTATGTCAAAGCTAAAAGGCTCCTGGATATATAAAAAAATTCTATATTTCCCAGTTTCCCAGATTTCCAGAAAAAAAATCAGAAATCAGGACATGGGCTGTAATGCAAAAATATCACTCAGTGGGGCTTTTGAATTAAAAAAATCGCAACTCAGCCCTCTTTGGTTTTTTGCGACTCAAATTTTGATATGTTTAAAATAAAAGGCTCCTGGATATATGAAAAAATTCTTCATTTCTCAAAGTTTCCCAGATTTCCAGGGAAAAAATCAAAAATTAGGCCATAGGGTGTAATGCAAAAATATCGTTCAATGGGGCTTTCGGATTAAACAGATTTCAGAAACATATTTTTCTCTTTTTTTTTTTCTTTTTTTTTCTCCAATGAATATGTCGGAGGCGCCCCTCGAGGTCTTGCGCCTGGATCGCTCGCTCCATTCGTCTTATGGTAGGGCCGGCCCTGTATGGAAATGAGCACAATTCGCATAAATACTGGCACAATTGAGCACAAAACGGGCACAATTGACTACAGTTGAGAAACAGTAGAAAACCAATCAGAGCTGGGCAAAGCACTCGAAAAAAGTGCTTGGAGCACCAAGCACCAAGCCCTTAGGGAAAGGAATTGCCAGCATCAAGCACCAAGCACTTTGGAAATTCTTAGTGCTTGCAATTACCAATTACCAAGGAAAGTAATTGCACAATTCAATTACCAAGCACCAATTACTCAAAAAGTGCTTGAAATATTTGTTGATTACTTGCAGGTGCTTGTAAGCACTTTTTTTTCAAATAAATTACCAATTACCAAGCACTACTTCGCCAATTGCTTCCAATTTATTTTCAAATGTTGCTGAATTGGTGTCTGGGGAGAAAGCAATTTGAAACGTAATAAGTTTTAACGTTTTTGGTTGATGTTGATATGATGATAGTTATAATAGAATGATCAAACCAAAATTTTTTTTGTTCTTAATTTATTACTAGTCTTCGTCTCTTCACTCTACATATACTACACTACACTGTATCATCGGATATTAACATTATTATAACTAAAGGTAAAGACTTTAATAAACTGTGGTAGTATAGTGACACTGGCAATCACAAATCAGCATACGGCAAGCCGGGCCGCGCTTACACGCGCCAACGTTCCATGGGAAGGGCGGCGCGGCCCGGCTTGCGATATCACTGGCCGTGTGAAACCACCTTAACACAACACAAATGATTCCGTATTGCCGACGCCGAGACGGCCTTCAACCAGCCAATCACATTGAAGCTTATGCTGCGTTAAGTTGTTACTAAGGACTTGATTTTTCGTGCTTGCAAGCCTT